CGATATTATCCGGAATACCGAGATTGAAATTGAAACGAGGGTCCCATGAGAGCAGCAAGGGAAGCGGGAATGCGGTTCAGGGTGGTATTGAGGCGTTTGGAGCACCTTCTCGGGTTTACGAAGCGGTTTTGAAAAAAACGAATGTGGCTCAGGAGGAAGCGAAGGCAGCCGTTTCGATTGGCCGAACTGAAGCAGCTGACTCAGAGAAGCGTGACGCGGAAAAAGGCGAAAATGCAGCTGATACGGCTGATACCGTTCTCGCTACAGCCGAAACAAACGGGGATACGGCTATTTTAGCTCGGCATACGGCCGTTCGAGCCTGGCTGAAGAAATGGAAAAGAAGATGGCTATTGCAAGATTCGATAGTAGATGACTCGATAATAGGCCGGGTTGGGACTATTGAGAAAGAAATTCAGGACAATCTAGCGGAGCAGGGGAATGTTACAGAGCTGATACAGCGGGTTTCGGCCATACGAAGCCAGCTGACTCAGATTCTGACGTCATCATCGTCGTCAGCAGCTGATGCTCAGACCGCCGAGGGAGGAAAGGGCGAGGGAGTGCAAGCGGGTCAGGAAGAAATCACTATGGCGGGTGCAGTGACTTTTGAGTCGACTCAAAAGTCACCTGCAGTGGACACCACTAACCGACCCATCAGACTCGACTGGTGAGTTCAAATGAGTTGTTATTGTGGAGAACAAGGAGTATGACGAGAGAGGAGTGCAAGCGGGTCAGGAAGAAAGCACTGTGGCGGGTGCAGTGGGTGCAGTGGATGGAGTGGGTGCAGTGGGTGCTGCAGTGGGTGCTGCAGTGGGTGCTGCAGTGGGTGCTGCCACTAACCGACCCATCAGACTCGACTGGTGAGTGCAAAGAAGTTACAGTTCGGAGCCTTGGCGTCAATACGTGGGTCCAAAGAAGCAGCCGAGGTTAATTACACCCGCCCAAGTCTGGTTTGAGGGAGTGGAGGGGCGCAAGTGGGTCAACAAGAGGCTCACACCCACACGACTCTTTTTCCCTCTGAACGTCCCTGTGCCTCCAGGGTGAAGCCAGTGACCCAGAAGGAGAAGGACGAGGAGGACAAGGCGAAGGTGGCAGCAGGCGTGTGTGACAAGACTCAGAACTATGGCAAGCTGTACGGGATGGGACCTATTGCGTGGGAGCCGCAGCCTGGCAAATACGTGTTGATGGATTGCTACAGGAACCAGGTGAGGGGTTGGGAGGAGTGGAGAGCAGTGTATGGTATGGCTGCAGGCGTGTGTGACAAGACTCAGAACTATGGCAAGCTGTATGGGATGGGACCTATTGCGTGGGAGCCGCAGCCTGGCAAATACGTGTTGATGGATTGCTACAGGAACCAGGTGAGGGGTTGGGAGGAGTGGAGAGCAGTGTATGGTATGGCTGCAGGCGTGTCTGACAAGACTCAGAACTATGGCAAGCTGTATGGGGCGGGGCCGATTTCGTGGCAGCCGCAGCCTGAGAAATACGTGTTGATGGACTGCTACAGGAACCAGGTTAGGGGGTTGGAAGGAGTGGAGAGTGGGGTGTGTGGTATGGGTTTCACACTCCACCAGATCCCATCCCTCTCCACCGCACTCCACCAGATCCCATCCCTCTCCACCGCACTCCACCAGATCCCATCCCTCTCCACTGCACTCCACCAGATGAGCAACCGAGTGCGGTGCATGAACAGGTTTCTGATAGCAGCGGCTACTTGAACCGAGACTCGGGCTCATAAAGTTACCCTCTCTCCAATCTACCCCACCGCTCCCGATCCTATTAGATGAGCAACAGAGTGCAGTGCATGAACAAATACTTGATCGCTTCCGGCTACTTGAACCGAGTCTCGGGCTCATCAAGTTACCCTCTCCCCTCTCCCCATTCCACTCCACCCCACTCCACCGCATTAGATGAGCAACCGAGTGCACTGCATGAACAAGTACCTCATAGCAGCAGGCTATCTGAATCGCACACACACCCATTCCCACCGCACTCCACCACACTCCACCCCTTCCCACCGCACTCCACCAGATGAGCAACCGGGTCCGGTGCATGAACAAATACCTCATAGCAGCAGGCTATCTGAATCGCACGCTGGTCGTGCCTCTGCATGCTGACAAGATCAGCCGCAATTACGACCGCCGCGCATATTTTGATCCCATCCCACCCCTCTCTCCACCCCTTTCCACGCCTTTCCACCGCACTCCACCAGATGAGCAACCGGGTCCGGTGCATGAACAAATACCTCATAGCAGCAGGCTATCTGAATCGCACGCTGGTCGTGCCTCTGCATGCCGACGAGATCAGCCGCAATTACGACCGCCGCGCTTACTTTGATATCGACCACACACGCCGCTGCTTCGGCCCCCGCACTGTGATTTCACGGGACGAGCTACTAGAGCTGGAGAGGGAGAGAAGGATGGGTGGTGGGGGCGGGGTAGGGGGAGGCGGAGGGGGAGGAGCTGGGAATGATACGGTGAATCTGGATCAGATTGTGTGTTTGTACGGCCGGTGCTATGATCAAGACCCCATAGGCATTCCAAAGAAAATGCCAAACTACACCAGCATCGGTTTTTTCGCCGAACCTGACGTGGACGTCCGGGGGTTTCCTCTCGAGCCATTCAGTCAACATCACGGATTTCCAATTGGTCGACTCCAAGCTTCTGCCCTCGGCTCGGCTTATCACGTTCGACGACCTAGGTTCGGCAATTTTGGATGCTTCCATGCAGGCTAATGGATCACGTATGAACAATCTCGACCTTCCGTTTATTCGTTCCCCGGGCTGCCCGAACCCTCTGGCCATCCAACCGCATCCCGCTATTCTGGAAGCGGCAGATGCGTTTGTGCGGACGAAACTTTTGCAGGGGCTGCCCAGGGAATGGGAAGTGAAAAATAGCAGCAGCGGTGATAGTAGCAGCAGCAGCAGCAGCAGCGGCGGCGACGGCGAAGGGGGGAGTGGTAGATTAGCATTTGGACGGTACATGGCGGTTCACTGGAGACGGACGGACCTGATTAAGAGTTACTCGCATCTGACGGTCGAGCAGACAGGGAGCTGCGTGGCGAGGAAGATGATTCGTTCGGGCAACTTGACGACTCTGTTCCTGGCGACTGACACGAATGATGAGGAGGTGAGAGATATTGAGGGTAGAATCTCCTGTCCTGGTAGAGGGTACTTCTTGATTTGTGGGCCAGGAAGATCCTTCAGTTAGGCAACTTGACAACGCTGTTCCTGGCAATTGACACGAATGACGAGGAGGTGGGTGGGACGGACACGAATGAATAGGAGGTGAGAGAGATTGAGGGTAGAATCTCCTATCCTGGTAGAGGTTACGTCTTAATTTGTGGGCCAGGAAGATGATTCGGTCTGGCAACTTGACATGACAAATCGGTCACGTATGACAACTCTTCTCCTTGCGACTGACACGAATGAGGAGGAGGTGAGTTACATACTGCTTCCATTCAAGGCATATGGATGGCTACTTGGTACGAGTAACTTGATGCTTCAGAAGGATTTCCACCAGAATAGTCATTCATGCTTTTTTCTCCACATGGTATCAGTGTCACCTATAGCATTTTCCCATAACACATCTCCATGTGCTTTTCCCACAGGTGAAGCAGCTGGAGCAAGTTATCCGTGCCTCCATTCCAAACCTCAGGCTGGTTCGGCAGCCGGCGAGCCTGGCGGGCGAGGACTGGGCGGCAGTGCTTGCCCAGGCCCATTTCACCCACATGACCACAGTACAAGCTGTACTCGATAAGGCTATATGCGTTATGGCGGATGTGTTTTTGGGGACCGATGCGTCGTCCTTTAGTGCAGATATAAATAGGATCCGAGCAGGACTTAGATTTCAAGAATGTGACGATGCTCCAATTTGTCATGGGTTGCCGGTGGTGGGTGGGAGATAGGTACCGTATTTTCCCGTATATACCGTATTCTCCCGGACATAACACCCTATGGTATAGCTAAAAATACAGGAAAAAAATTGGGGGGGGGGGGGGGGGGGGGGGGGGGGGTCTCCTCATAGGAAAAAAATACATACCGTCATCGCCCGGATAGAAGACATACGGTATATGTCTTATCTTATACATTAGAAAAAAAGATTGTTGTGTCTTGTACTTGGGACGATTTAGGGTGTCTTATAATTCTTATAAATGGACAAAAAACCGTGTAGAGGATACCCCCTAGTCATAAGATTGCCCCTAATCCCTATACTGGCTTAACTTGTTCACACCGACAGTTGTCTTATAATCAGGAACACCCATCTATAAGAAACACCCGTTTTAACGACACCCCATGTCTTCAATTCGACACTGTCTTATATCCGGCCGATGACGGTCATACCCGGGTCTTTACATATGACATATTTTAGTGTTAGTGTTTTTTTTATTAGTCAATGTGGGTGTTTTGCTGGTCGTTTTAGCATCACTGCCTGAGGCGCGAATGTGAGTTTCGGCCTCGAACTTCATCGCCCTCACGAAAATGCCATGTGGCACCTCTCTTGCCACTTGCAACGGAAGATTCACCTGCACGTGGCAACAGAGAAATAGTGGGAGGGGGCAAATCTCGGCAGATTGCCTTTGAATGTACCGCAAAATTTCATTGAGGGAGAAATTCACACGATATTCTTCCGTATTGCAGCTACTCGTTAACGACTAAAATAATGAATCCGTAAGAAAAGGGGGGTGTTATAGAAAATCAGCCAAAAATGGGGGTATAGTAGAAACGAGGTCTATCATAACACCCACCCCGCACAAGCTACCCGGGGGTGTACAATTATGGGGGGGTGTTTTGTCCGGGAGTATACGGTAGGACCCGGGGGACTTTATAAAAATTCATTTAAAAAGGCTGGGGTGAACACTATGGAGGATGGAAATAGATAAGACCCCCATACATCTATTTTACTCATAGGCAACCGTTTTTCTGCAAAGTTAAAGCTGTCGCCTACATACCTCATGCGGGAGGACCTGATTTATCACTTGAAAACCAGGTAGCACAAGGCTTCGCTCCATCCTTGTGTTTGAATCATTCGCGCTCTCATTTCTGGAAAGGGATCATTTCGTGTGCAAATCAGACTGCGTCTTAGGCTGTGCACCCGAAATACCCCCAGAAAATACCCTTGGGTATGTAGACCGCAGCATTAAACTTTTCCACCAAAATCGAGTGCCTCCAAAAAGCAAAGGCGAAAGTGCCTAGTCAACCCTTCGATCTGACGCGGTCAATGCGTCACATTTATATTGAACACTCTATATAGCTGAAAATTGAACACTCTATACCAAAGAGAGGGGTCTTATATTGTTTAATATCAAAAGGGGGTCCTCACAGATTGGTCCTTAATAAGCGTACCACTCCCCGCATATAAGACCCATGGGACTGTTATTCCATAGGGTCCTATATACGGGAAAATACGGATGCAAAAACGGTTGGATTTGTGCCTACACTGTCATCGTGACTCTTCTACAGCGGATACAAAAACGGTAGGATTTGTGCCAGGCTTAGGTCTCAGGAATGTGACGATGCGCTAACCTGTCATGGGTTGCCGGTGGTGGGAAATAGGTGATTGTGGGATAGGTGCTGTAATTCGGATAGGGGAATCATTGAGTGAGGTGAATCCTCTTCACCCCTCTTTTATCCATAATAGAGTTTTGACAGTGCAGTGTGCACCAGGCCCCAAAATGTCAGGGTAAAATACCCTGATTGCCCTGACTGGCGGCCGCTTTTTTTGGGGTTACCCTGACCCAGTCAGGCTCCCAGATTTCTTACCCTGACTCATAGAGAGTTAGAATTTTTGTACCCTTATGAAATCCGAGTTAGATTGTTTCCCCTGACTTTCATCAGTGTTTTAAACCTGTTACACTGATACCAAGTCTTTTGTAGCGAGGATACGGTGGATGTTGCGCAAAATGACGCTGGCGAGTAATGCACTACGCTTACTTCCCAACAAGATCGCCGAACTGGCGACCTTTCTACTCACAGCATCAACCCTCACCAAGTGAAACATTTGAGCTTGCGGAATGTTTTGTTCGTTTAAAATATATCATTATTTATGGAATCAGAGGAAGTTTTTTTTTACCCTGTTTTCATCAGGGTGCGAGATTTTTTACCCTAGGAGTCAGGGCTGGCCCACCCTGGAACTCTGATTTGACAGGGTGGGCCAAAACCAATTTTGGGCCCTGGTGTGCACTGCCTTGGCTGCTTTGGCACCCTATACACATTCACGAATCACAACACTACAAAAAGTTGACGAAGTGGTTCCACTGAATTAGGTTAACATAGACACCAAAAAGCAGCAAATGTGTTCCCTCAGACAAGATAAGGGGAATCGAGCACTGCGAAGCCAGACGCCACCCCTCCCTCGTTTGAAGTTGCTGTTTTTGTGCGCAATAGGTGGCCTGCTGCTGCATTGATAACCACCTTGTCTCCATTTCTGAAAGGAAGGGGAAGGAGACGCGTAGGACGAAGGGAAGAGCGAGCGTTGGTGGTACGTGCCATACACGCCCAGCTCTAACAGGGTGTCGTTCCAGCTGTGCTGGCAGGCACCGCCGTATGAGCACGGAGCGGTGCACGGGGGGGGGGGAAAGGGAGCGGAGTAGTGTTGCCCACTAGTTCACAAGCACATATACCCACCCCAGGTACGTGCCATACACTCCTAGTTCAGAGAGTGTGTCGTTCCAGCTGTGCTGACAGCGCCGAATCAGCACGGAGTGGTGCACGGGGGGGAAGAGGCGCTGCATGAGAATGAACGCCGCTAGCTCCCCTGTTGCTGCACTGCTGACCCATGCCCACACGTACCTCAAGTATGTCCCATACACGCCCAGTTCAGATCGAGTATCGTTTCAGCTGTGCTGGCACCTCCGAATCAACACGGAGCGGTGCACGGGGGGGAAGAGGCGTTGCATGAGAATGAACGCTGCTGCGTCCCCTGCTTCTGCACTGCTGACCCATGCCCACACTCACCTCAGGTACGTGCCATACACGCCTAGCTCGGAAAGAGTATCGTTCCAGCTGTGCTGACACCTTCGGATGAGCACGGAGCGGTGCACGGGGGGGAAGAGCCGCTGCATGAGAATGAACGCTGCTAGCTCCTGCCTCCCCGCCTCCCCTGCTTCTGTCAGCTCCGTGAGCTTCCTGGTAATTTCCTCGTCGTAGATGTTGTTGCCTGCACAGAGGGGTGGATTGGGTTGCATAGTGATTAATCAGAAACCAGACCGGGATTAGATGAAAAGACTTCTGTTATACGAATTTCGTTATCATAAACTGTTTCTGTTCATATTCACAGTTCAGAGACGATTACTGCTCAGCACAAATCGTGATGGTTCCGCAATTGCCTTCCAAGACATCTAAATTTCCTTGTAAGGCTCAATAGCCCAATCGCTATCGTCTCTGAACGCCCAATAGCTCACCTCCTCCCTCTCTTTGCGGCTTCAGCACAAACTCTGAAGGCTCCCCGGTCGCCTTTTGAGACATCTCACAGAATCCTTCCAATACACCAAGTCTCTGAACGCCCAATAGCTCACCTCCTCCCTCTCTTTGCGGCTTCAGCACAAACTCGGATGGCTCCCGAATCGCTTTCGAAATGATTTCATTCCGTGCTGCCCCACCATCAGCTGGTCCTTCCCCTGCCCCCCTTTCCTCCTCCAAACTCCACAGCCCAGCAAAGCATTGCCGCATGGCTTGCAGAGACGCCTCGTCTGATACGAACCTGCTTGAGGTGGGGGAGAAGGGGAGGGAAAGAGAGATGAGAGTTGGCTGTTCCAAACTCTCACCTCACCTCAGCTTACCATACCCCACCTCACCTCACCTCCCAAGCTTGTGAGGCGCCTCAACAGCTGCCTTTAATCATATCTATCTGAACTGATCCCTCACCTCTCCAGCCCCCCATGCTGACCCAGCTTCTGCTAAAAGGTGGTACGTACGATGGTGAGGCAACTGACTGACAGTTGCCCCTAACTGTCCAGTCCACCCCCCCACCCCCATTTCAATGCCCACCTTCTTCCCTCCTCTCCCTTATGATCTCCTCTGCTCTCACCTCTGCACCACGCCTGGCTGACCCAGCTCTCTCCCTTCATAATCGAAGGGCCTTCTTGACTCATAATCGAAGGGCAGCAGTGCGCGAAGATGACACTTTAGCAACAGGATCAAGAGTGTAAAGCTAGAGTGAACAAAAGTAGATCTAGAAAACCCTTCGTCTCCAATAGCAAGTCCCTCTGCTCTCACCTCTCCAACACGCCAGGCTGTGCCAGCTGCTACTGCACCTTCTTCGCTCCTGCCAGGTGGTACGCTATGGTGGAACACTTGACTGCTCACTTACTCTCTCACACCCTGTCTTTCTTTTGAGTCGACTCAAAAGCTTGACTGCTCACTTACTCTCTCACACCCTGTCTTTCCTGCCTGCCCACAAGCTCCCCTATAGCCTCCCCTCTGCCCCCGTTGTGCCCTCACCTCTCCAGCACACCCGGCTGTGCCAGCTGCTGCTGCACCTTCTTCGCTCCTGCCAGGTGGTACGCGATGGTGGGACACTTGACTGCTGCTGATCGCTCAAGTAACAAGCGGGCCTCCCACTCCTGATGCAGGCAGTCAGAGAGAGGGGTGGGCAGTGTGGCAGGCAAAAGCGGGTTCGGTAACAGAGCAGAGGATACAGAGCTGATTTTGAGCAGAATCCGGGTAGAGAATGCCTCAGGCTGACAATGGATTTTCAATGAAGAATGAGGCAAGCCAAACGCCTGGGAAACAAACAAACAAGAAACATACTGACTGCAGAAGAGCACACAAACTTACAAGATCAGTTGGGTAGTCACCGGGGCCGTAGCCTGCACGGTAATATACCACTGATATGTGATGGCCGTCGCTGGAGTGTGGGATAAGGGGAGAACAGGGAGGAGGAAGGGCATGATATAGAAGCAGTAAAACGAGGTGACTTTTGAGTCGACTCTTGAGTCGACTCAAAATGTGTTGTGTGCCATGGTAACGAGGTGACTTTTGAGTCGACTCAACAGAGAACAGGGAGGAGGAAGGGCATGATATAGAAGCAGTACAACTCAGCACGTGCACACACTCTCACTTTTATTCGGATATGTGCACACACAAGCACACTCGCATGCACACACAAGCACACTCGCATGCACACACGCTCGCACGCACACACCCACATGCACACACACCCACATGCACACACTCTCTCAGCTTTATGATTGGTACTGATAGTAAGGCTAAGCGTGAGACGTCTCAAAGCACTCCTTCTTTCACGAGGCTAAGCGTACATGCTGGCTTCGCCTTGCACACACTCTCTCATTTATGCAGACGTGTACACACATGCACACACACTCGCATGCACACACGCTCGCATGCACACACGCTCGCATGCACACACGCTCGCATGCACACACGCTCGCATGCACACACGCTCGCATGCACACACGCTCGCATGCCCACAAGCACTCAAACTGTTGACTTCTGAGTCGACTCAAAAGTGAACTCATTAATGCAGACATGTACACACATGCACGCACACACATGCAGAAAGCGGGAAAACAAAGCATGTGCAATCACTTGCTTCATCAGGCAGTGCTGATCGTACATGCTGGCTTCAACTTGTGCACACTCACACGTTTATGCAGACATGAACACACATGCACACTTGATGCACACACTCAGCACTGATAGTGCTGGTCGTACATGCTGGCTTCGACTTGTGCACACTCACACGTTTATGCAGATATATGCACACGCATGCACACACGCTCGCATGCCCGCAAGCACTCACATTGCTGAATGTTGAGTCAATTCAAAGGTCAGCTCCTTTATGCAGACATGTACACACATGCGCACCTTCAGCACTGATAGTGCTGGTCGTGTATGCTGGCTTCATCTTGCACACCCTCTCACACTCACACTCACACTCGCACTCACACTGACAACACAACACACACACAAACGCGCACTCGCACACACATACACAGACACATACAAATACACACTCACACTGTCAAGTCGCCACTATCTGTTATTGCCCCCTGCTGCTGCACCTCCTTCAGGCTCTTCCTGAGCACTCTAATCCCGTGCCTCTGCCACACGAGCTGCGACAAGCAGTGCTGGTCATACATGTTCCGCTCTGGCTTCTGCACCACCATCAAAATGAGAGAGCTGCTCTGGGGGTGTGTGGTGGCAGTTAGAGGGCAAGTGGGAGGGCAGGGGAAGGGAAGGTGAAGAATGGCAGACCGCACCACGCCACATGAGCTGTGCCAAGCAGTGCTGGTCGTACATGTTGCGCTCTGGCTTTTGCACGACCATCAAAATGAGAGAGCTGCTCTTGTGGAAGTTGGGGAGAGATGGAGGCAGAGGGATGGGCAAGGTAGGGTTGCAGCTGTTAGGATAAACAGCAGAATAGCGCTGGTCGAGACAGGCAGTGCCATCACAGCACAGGCCAAGACAGGCAGTGCTGGTCGTACATGTTGCGCTGTGGCTTCTGCACCACCATCAGGATGAGAGAGCTGCTCTGGAGGGATCTAAAGAGAGGGATGGGAGCAGAGGGATGGACAGGGCAGAGTTGTAGCTGTTAGGATAAACAGCAAGAAAGCACAGGCCGAGACAAAGCACTGCTGGTCGTACATGTTGCGCTCTGGCTTTTGCACCACCATCAGGATGAGAGAGCTGCTTTGGGGGAGTGCAGTGGGGAAAGGTGGGGAGAGATAGGGGGCGGTGGTGGGGGAGAAGCAGTGCTGGTCATACATATTGCGCTCCGGCTTTTGCACCACCACCATCAGGATGAGAGAGCTGCTCTGGTTTGGGGTGAGTTGGTACGGAGAGGGCAAGTAGAAAGGTAAGGGGGATGGTGAAGAGAGGGATGGGTGGGGGCTCACACGTGCTGTGCTAATCAGTCAGTGCTGGTCGTACTATTGTTGAGTCGACTCAAAAAGAGGGATGGGTGGGTGGGGGTCCACACGTGCTGTACCAATCAGTGCTGGTCATACGTGCTGCATTCTGGCTTTTGAGTCGACTCAAAAATCGACTCATCACACGCGGGTTGGTAGGGAGAGGGCAAATAGAAATGGAAGGGGGATGGTGAAGAGAGGGATGGGTGGGTGGGGGTCCACACGTGCTGTGCCGGTCAGTCAGTGCTGGTCGTACTATTGTTGAGTCGACTCAAAAAGAGGGATGGGTGGGTGGGGGTCCACACGTGCTGTGCCAATCAGTCAGTGCTGGTCGTACTATTGTTGAGTCGACTCAAAAAGAGGGATGGGTGGGTGGGGGTCCACACGTGCTGTGCCGGTCAGTCAGTGCTGGTCGTACTATTGTTGAGTCGACTCAAAAAGAGGGATGGGTGGGTGGGGGTCCACACGTGCTGTGCCAATCAGTCAGTGCTGGTCGTACTATTGTTGAGTCGACTCAAAAAGAGGGATGGGTGGGTGGGGGTCCACACGTGCTGTGCCAATCAGTCAGTGCTGGTCGTACTATTGTTGAGTCGACTCAAAAAGAGGGATGGGTGGGTGGGGGTCCACACGTGCTGTGCCAATCAGTCAGTGCTGGTCGTACTATTGTTGAGTCGACTCAAAAAGAGGGATGGGTGGGTGGGGGTCCACACGTGCTGTGCCAATCAGTCAGTGCTGGTCGTACTATTGTTGAGTCGACTCAAAAAGAGGGATGGGTGGGTGGGGGTCCACACGTGCTGTGCCAATCAGTGCTGGTCATACGTGCTGCATTCTGGCTTTTGAGTCGACTCAAAAATCGACTCATCACACGCGGGTGGGTAGGGAGAGGGCAAATAGAAACGGAAGGGGGATGGTGAAGAGAGGGACGGGTGGGTGGGGGTCCACACGTGCTGTGCCGGTCAGTCAGTGCTGGTCGTACTATTGTTGAGTCGACTCAAACAGAGGGATGGGTGGGTGGGGGTCCACACGTGCTGTGCCGGTCAGTCAGTGCTGGTCGTACTAGTGTTGAGTCGACTCAAAAAGAGGGATGGGTGGGTGGGGGTCCACACGTGCTGTGCCGGTCAGTCAGTGCTGGTCGTACTATTGTTGAGTCGACTCAAAAAGAGGGATGGGTGGGTGGGGGTCCACACGTGCTGTGCCGGTCAGTCAGTGCTGGTCGTACTATTGTTGAGTCGACTCAAAAAGAGGGATGGGTGGGTGGGGGTCCACACGTGCTGTGCCAATCAGTCAGTGCTGGTCGTACTATTGTTGAGTCGACTCAAAAAGAGGGATGGGTGGGTGGGGGTCCACACGTGCTGTGCCGGTCAGTCAGTGCTGGTCGTACTAGTGTTGAGTCGACTCAAAAAGAGGGATGGGTGGGTGGGGGTCCACACGTGCTGTGCCAATCAGTCAGTGCTGGTCGTACTATTGTTGAGTCGACTCAAAAAGAGGGATGGGTGGGTGGGGGTCCACACGTGCTGTGCCAATCAGTCAGTGCTGGTCGTACTATTGTTGAGTCGACTCAAAAAGAGGGATGGGTGGGTGGGGGTCCACACGTGCTGTGCCAATCAGTCAGTGCTGGTCGTACTATTGTTGAGTCGACTCAAAAAGAGGGATGGGTGGGTGGGGGTCCACACGTGCTGTGCCAATCAGTCAGTGCTGGTCGTACTATTGTTGAGTCGACTCAAAAAGAGGGATGGGTGGGTGGGGGTCCACACGTGCTGTGCCAATCAGTCAGTGCTGGTCGTACTATTGTTGAGTCGACTCAAAAAGAGGGATGGGTGGGTGGGGGTCCACACGTGCTGTGCCAATCAGTCAGTGCTGGTCGTACTATTGTTGAGTCGACTCAAAAAGAGGGATGGGTGGGTGGGGGTCCACACGTGCTGTGCCAATCAGTCAGTGCTGGTCGTACTATTGTTGAGTCGACTCAAAAAGAGGGATGGGTGGGTGGGGGTCCACACGTGCTGTGCCAATCAGTCAGTGCTGTCGTACTTTTGTTGAGTCGACTCAAAAAGAGGGATGGGTGGGTGGGGGTCCACACGTGCTGTACCAATCAGTGCTGGTCATACGTGCTGCATTCTGGCTTTTGAGTCGACTCAAAAATCGACTCATCACACGCGGGTTGGTAGGGAGAGGGCAAATAGAAACGGAAGGGGGATGGTGAAGAGAGGGATGGGTGGGTGGGGGTCCACACGTGCTGTGCCGGTCAGTCAGTGCTGGTCGTACTATTGTTGAGTCGACTCAAAAAGAGGGATGGGTGGGTGGGGGTCCACTCGTGCTGTGCCAATCAGTCAGTGCTGGTCGTACTATTGTTGAGTCGACTCAAAAAGAGGGATGGGTGGGTGGGGGTCCACACGTGCTGTGCCGGTCAGTCAGTGCTGGCCGTATGTGCTGCATTCTGGCTTTTGCAATGGCTTAAGCTCACAACACCCAGACCTACCACACAGCACCCAGCCCTACCACACAGCACCCATCCCTACCACACAGCACCCAGCCCTACCACACAGCACCCAGCCCTACCACATAGCACCCAGCACTACCATATGACAGCATGATCCACCTACCTCTCATCCCCGTATTCCCTCCACGCCGCTGCCAGCGCATCTGCCATGTCTGTTGCTGCAGAGTTAACAGGCACACACGACGCCCATCCCTACCACACACTACACGGCCCTACCGCACCACATCGAGGTCGTTTTTGAGGCGCCTCAAAAACGACCTCAATGCACGACACCCATCCCTACCACCACACACTACACAGCCCTACCGCACCACATCGTGAGTGACCCACCTACCTCTCATCCCCGTATTCCCTCCACGCTGCTGCCAGCGCATCTGCCATGTCCGTTGCTGCACACACAGCACCCAGCTCTACCGCACAGCACCGAGCCCTACTGCACAGCAACGTGACCCACCTACCTCTCATCCCCGTATTCCCTCCACGCTGCTGCCAGCGCATCAGCCATGTCCGCTGCTGCCGTGTTGAGAGGCACAGAGTCCACCGACAGACCTGCCTTCTCCCCATACATCCCCACCATGTGCCTGGGAGGATGGGTGAGATGCGGGGCAGAAAGAGGAGGGAGGAACAAGGGGGGGGTCTGAATATTCTCATGTTCATTGCTGCCGTGTTGAGAGGCACAGAGTCCACCGACAGACCTGCCTTCTCCCCATACATCCCCACCATGTGCCTGGGAGGATGGGTGACAGGACAAGTGAAAGCAGAGACAGAAAACAAGAGGGGAATAAGGAAGAGGTGGTGGTGGTATTATCATGCCTGCTGATGCTTCGTTGAGAGGCATAGCATAGCATCCACTGACAGACAAGGTGGCGGTGGTATTCTCATGCCTTTCCAACATACATTCCCACCATGTGCCTGGCAGGAAGGGTGGGGATGAGAGGGGATAGGGAGTACAGTACATCATGCCATCCGTTGCTGAACAAGTGTGGGGAATCGAGAGGAGTTGAGAGCAGTTGACAGGAATTGACAGGAGTTCACAGGAGTTGACAGGAGTTGACGGGTAAACGATCCACATCAGTTTTCCTAGCTCTAGCACTCTCCTGCAATCCTCCTCTCCCGCCCCAAAAGGCTCTTACCCACCTGTGCAGGTAGGTGAGTCAGGACGTCAGCCCAGCACAGGGACGAAGGAGGAGGAAATGGTGTTGAGTCCCACTCAGCTCCACTCCACCTGCAGCACCCCTCCTGTGACAGTGTCGAGCAGCACCAGCCCTGCTCCGTATTACATTATCCCAACCTCCTGTGCTTCGCCCGGCTTCCCTTCCCCCCCACTCACCTGTGCAAGCCTGTGACTCAGGAGGTGAGCCCAGGGAAGGAGGAAGAAATGGTGTTGAGTCCCACTCAGCTCAGCTCCACTCCACCTGCAGCACCCCTCCTGTGACAGTGTCGAGCAGCACCAGCCCTGCTCCGTATTACATTATCCCAACCTCCTGTGCTTCGCCCGGCTTCCCTTCCCCCCCCACTCACCTGTGCAAGCCTGTGACTCAGGAGGTAAGCCCAGGGAAGGAGGAAGAAATGGTGTTGAGTCCCACTCAGCTCAGCTCCACTCCACCTGCAGCACGCCCCGCTGCCCCACTTATACTAGAACCAAACCAGCCCCAGGATTTTTGAGAATTCTCAAAAAACATACACGCCCCGCTGCAACACTTATACTAGAACCAAACCAGCCCCAGGTTTTTTGAGAATTCTAAAAAAACATACACGCCCCTCTGCCCCATGTATACCAGAACCAAACCAGCCCCAGGTTGAACCCACCTATCCAGGCCAGGTCGGTGACCCTTAAGGTGACCCCAGGGAAGGAGGAGGAGATGGTGTTGACCTCCACCTGCAGCACGGCCTCACAGCAGAGTCATCCCCAATACCAGGCAGCCAGTAACCCCCCCTGCTCACCTGTGCAAGTCAGTAACCCTTGCAGTGAGGCCAGGGAAGGACGAGGAGATGGTGTTGACCTCCACCTGCAGCACACCCCCTGCAAGGCAATCCCCGGCAACACCACCAGCCCTGCTACGCAGTACCCCCTATCTATCCCAAGCTTCCTGAGTTTAGCTCCCTGCCCACCTGTGCAGGTCTGTGACCCGTGAAGTGAGGCCAGGGAAGGACGAGGAGATGGTGTTGAGTTCCACCTGCAGCACGCCCCCTGTCACTGTGTCCAGCATGTAGTCGGATCTGTGCATGCCCAACCGTAAAGGCTGTAGAGAGTGGTGGAGAGCGGTGAAGAGCAGTGGAGAGGCAGTGGAGAGGGGTGAGGGGGGATGGGGAGGAATGCCAGTTAATCCTGTGTTGATTGAGCTCCACCTGCAGCACGCCCCTGGTGACTGTGTCCAGCATGTAGTCAGATCTGTGCATGCCCAGCCAGCCTTATTGACTGAGGGGTGGAGGGTGGTGGAGAAGCAGTGGAGGGAGATGCAAATGGGTGGACAACGGTGGGGAGGGATGGGGAGCAATGACTGGTGATTATGTGTTGAGCTCCACCTGCGGTACACCCCCTGTGACTGTGTCCAGCATGTAGACCGACCTGTGCATGCCCAACCGTAAAGGCTGTAGAGAGTGGTGGAGAGCGGTGAAGAGCAGTGAAGAGGCATTGGAGAGGGGTGGGGACGGATGGGGAGGAATGCCACTTAATCCTGTGTTGATTGAGCTCCACCTGCAGCACGCCCCCGGTGACTGTATCCAGCATGTAGTCAGATCTGTGCATGCCCAGCCATGGGGGCTGGGGTAATAATGGGTATAAGGCTGCTCACCTGCTGAATTCAATGCTTGAGTATGTCCACGGGTATTAGGAGAAGACCTACTGTGTGCTTACATGTGCAGCAATCCACCGGAAGCACTATATGGTCTCAGCTCACTTGCTTCCCTCACAGATTACCTGCTTAGTTCCCTTGCTTGCAGGCTGCTCACCTGCTGTATGCCCTCCTGTATTATCTCCGCGTGTATTTGGACTGGCTGTACTCTTCTGTATCCTGGTATTCGCCTTACAGGCTGCTCACCTGCTGTATGCCCTCCTGTATTATCTCCGCGTGCATTTGGACTGGCTGTACTCTTCTGTATCCTGGTATTCGCCTTACAGGCTGCTCACCTGCTGTATGCCCTCCTTTATTATCTCCGCGTGTATTCGGAGGAGACCGGCTGTGAAAGAGTCAGAGCGCCCTGCACTGAAACAGGGGGAGGGCATGGCATGGCATGGCATGACATGGCACGGCATGGCATGGCATGGCATGGCATGGCACGGCATGGCATGGCATGGCATGGCATGGCATGGCATGGCACGGCATGGCATGGCATGGCATGGCATGGCATGGCATGGCATGGCATGGCATGGCATGGCATGGCATGGCATGGCATGGCAGGACAGGTGAGACAAGGGGAGACGTGGGGCTGTGAAGGAGTCAGAGCGCCCTGCACTGAAACAGGGGGGGTGGGGCAGAGGCGGCATGGCATGGCATGGGATACGATGCATTGAATGATGCTGAATTTCTTCTGGTAAAAGGAAGACTGATTCACAGCTCTTTAAAAGAGACGGTAGAGAGATTTTTTGCAATAAGGCTGAAAGAAATCGGAGAGCAGATGATAGCGGTGCGTAACCATCTTACCAGTGTGGTTATTGTGCCAGCATGGAATGCAGCTACCCTCCCAGAAAGCTCACCTCACCTCACCTCACCTTGCCAGTGTGGATTGCAGGAAGTAAGAGTCCTGACTGGTGACATCACCCGGGGCGTTGAAGAGAGGGGCGAGCTCCAGCTCGATGGAAATGGTGCGCCAGGACCAGCGTCACCGGCATGGAATGAGGCTAGTGTGGTTACCAGGTCAGTGCGGTGGTTACCACACCACACCAGCCTGGATCACTCACCTTGCGAGAGTGGATTGCAGGAAATCCGCGTCCTGGCTGACAGCATCTACAAGATCGTTGAAGAGAGGGGCGAGCTGAAGTGACTTGTGAACCCCTGCCACTGTGGTTAACCTGCCAGAGAGAACTCACCTTGCAAGCGTAGATTGCAGGGAATCCGCGTCCTGGCTGACAGCATCGACAAGATCGTTGGAGAGAGGGGCGAGCTCCGCTATCCGATGGAATTGGTGTGCTGGGAAGGGCGTGGGGTGGGGAGCGAATTCACTCGCTCAGGAAGCTGAGGTGTGTGGTCAACTCACCTTGCGAGAGTCGATTGCAGGAAATCCGCGTCCTGGCTGACTGCATCCACCAGGGCGTTGAAGAGAGGGGCGAGCTCCACGGCTCGATGGAAGTGGTGTGCTGGGAAGGGCGTGGGGAGCAGCGTCACTGGCGCGGGGACCAGGCCTGATCCAGGAACCGACCCCGAGTCCTGGAGGACAAAAGAAAGAGTTGCGGGAAGGAGGAAGCTGGTAGGGGTGGATGGAAATGGTGCGCTGGGAATGGCGTGGGGAGCAGCGTCACTGGCGCCGGAACCAGGCCTGATCCAGGAACGAAACCCGAGTCCTGGAGCAGAGCAGGGGGGGTGTTATGGGAAGGAGAAAATTCGTGCTGGTGGATAAAGGTGGCATGCTGGGAAGGGAAGGACGTGGGAGCAGCGTCACTGGCGCGGGAATCAAGACTGATCCAGGAACGGAGGACAGGCGGGAGGAGTTGCAGGGAAAAAGTTGGTGGGGGTGAATGGAAATAGTGTGCTGGGAAGGGCGCGGGGAGCAGCATCACTGGCGCGGGGACCAAACCTGATCCAGGAACGGAACCCGAGTCCTGTAGGCCATGAAAAAAAGTTGTCGGGAAGAAAAAGTTGGTGCGGGTGAATGGAGATGGTGTGGTTGGAGCGGCGTGGGAGTAGCGTCACTAGCGCGGACCAGGCTCGATCCAGGAACCGACCCCGAGTCGTGTAAAAGCGGGAAGGAAGGCGTAGAATGGGAGGGTATGGGGTGAGTGAGGAATATGGGAGGGGTATGACACTAAGAATACAAGACTGGGAATGCGTGGACAAAGGCATTCACGGTATCCAAGCTCGCTCAACACATGAGTGCCCCATCACCTATCCATATGCATGCAGCCAAGCGAGCTCTTCGGTATCTCAAAGGTACTTCTAATCATGGTCTTCTCTTCCAAGCCAGCCCCCAATGCCTAAGTACCAGTTGCCCTCATGTTGGGGAAATACAAAATGGAGCGTCCGATCTTCCCTCCAGCCGACCTAGACCGTCTGATCTTCCCTCAGCCATCGGATCTCCGCTTTGGGCTACCTCGGCCCCTCCGATCTTCCTTTGAGCCTACCTCGACCTGATCGCCGACGACCAGTCCGTTGAGCGAGGACTGGACTAGAGACTCCTCCACCATGCCTCGCAACTCCGCGTCCAAAATGCTCTTCTCGAACGTCCGATCTTCCTTTGAACCTACCTCGACCGTCTGATCGCCGACGACCAGTCCGTTGAGCGACGTCCAAACTAGCGACTCGTCCACCATGCCTCGCAACTCCGCGTCTGAAATGCTCCTCTCGAAATCGCTGACTCAACACTACCTCGCACATCGTTATCGCCACCCTCTGAATTTTTTAGAACCGTCCAGCTTCGGCACGACCGTCCGATCTTCCCTTGAGCCTACCTCGACCGTCTGATCGCCGACGACCAGTCCGTTGAGCGAGGACCAAACTAGCGATTCGTCCACCATCCCTCGCAACTCCGCGTCCGAAATGCTCCTCTCGAAATCGCTGATCGCGTCTGGCTGACCCATCTGCGACTCGTGAAACGAGCAAACAACCGGACTTCTCCGACCTGTCCTCGTTTTAAGCTGCTTCTGGAGTGTCGTTACCGAACGACGCGACTGAAATTGCGAATGCAACGGGCGAGAAAGACGAAGAGAGGCGAGCAACCCGTGGTTTCTGGTTACACGGCCGGACGGTGACGCTGCTGTCTGTATGGTGGACAAACAGCCGTTGTACGGGAGCGTTGCACTAGCTGCTGCAGCAGCCATAGCTGCCAATAGATAAGTATGATTCAGAAAACCAGATGAGCCAGATAGCCGTTGTGAAACATCCCGCCTCGATATTGACGTGATGAGGAATTCTGATCAGAATTGTGGTGTCTGGCGTGTCCCGCACGATCGTTTTTTGTGCCACTGATCACGGTTTTCTTCGGTGCTTCTCGTTCCAAAGCGGTACAGCGTGAGTAAACCATAAGCGTGAAACATCCCTACCCCGATATAGACTTCTGTTGATTTCTAAGATGAAACTAATACAGCTATAGAAGGCACTGCAGAGCTCGGTCATTATAGCAAGTGCATTATATAATGGCCTTCATCCTTCATGGCCTCTTAGCATGCAACGCACCCAATAGAACATAAGAGCTTACAGTTTCATAGACTCAATATGAACTGCTGCTCTATTCTCTTGGCTGACTGGCTAGTGCCAGCAGAAAGACACTCATGGAGGCGTAAAATGCAACTGTTTGGAGACCGGAGCTGGTTGGAGTGAGTTGCACTGCTTCCCACGCTGTGCTTAAAGGAGCTGTTACAAACGCGGATGCTGATGACACAGTGTTGAAAATGGTTCCGTTTGTTGGGAGGGAGAGCTGGAATGGAGAGAAGAAAAGTAGGGGACGAAGGGAGTGGGGAAGGAGAGAGAGGCAGATAGGCAGCCGGGATTGGAATTCGCAATGGATAAAAATGTGATTTAGTTCGCAATGCACAGATCTTTATGGTAACGCCTTGCGCATGTGGCAGCATAACGGAGACATGACAGTGTATCAGCAGGACGGAGGTGTATCGCCACCCCTGCCGTATCCGCCTGCAGTGCTTCCCCACCAGACACCCACTCTCCCACGCACTCACCGACCAAACGCCCTCCAGTGATGGAGTCCCCTCTCCCAGCAGTCTTTCAAATGCCTCCATCCCTGCGCCCGCAGCATTGCCGATCTTCCTCGCCACCCCTGTTGTGTCCACCTGCAGTGCTCTTCACCCGTTGACACCTCCCCGTGTCTTACCCCCACCCACCTGCTGTGTCCGCCTGAATTGTTCCCCCCCCGGATTCCAGCACCACCGGCCATCCAATCTCTCATTCACTCACCGACCACACGCCATCCAGTGCAGGAGCCCCTTCCTGAAATAGTTTTTCAACCGCCTCCATCCCTGCGCCGGCAGCGTCGCCAATCATCCTCGCCACCCCTGATGTGTCCGCCTGCAATGCTTCCCCGCCGGACTCCAGAAGCTTCTGCGTCGCTTCCGCACCCGACCCAAGCAGCCTGCCCACCTGCATGCATGCACGGTTCACGAGGAGAAAAGAAAGAAAGAAAGAAAGAAAGAAAAACATTAACTTCGCCACACCTCTCCCAAGTCCGTCTGTAGTGCTTCTCCACCAAAATCCAGAAAGCTTCTCCGCTCCGCCTGCTGTGCATTGCTGCCAGCCGCAGAAGCTTCACATGCATCAAACGAGTGGGAGTTACTTTTCCGCTACTCACGTTCACGTTAGTCACTTTCTCGTTAGTGTCAGTACTAATAAACTTCGCCGGAGGAAAAGAACTGCGCATAATCCCCCTCTCCCTTGCCTTCCCCTCGCCAACCTGCTCCGACATGCTCTCTTTTACCTCCTCCGCCCGCCAAACACGGTAACCCCATAGTAACCCTGACTTGATATTACCCACCTGCTCCGACCACACGCCCTCTTCCACCATCTCCGCCCGTCAAACACGGTAACCCCATGGTAACCCTGACTTCCTATTACCCACCTGCTCCGACACACTCTCTTCCGCTGACACAGCGCGTCGAAAAATGCCACAGGCCAAGAGTGGTAACTCTAAGGTAACCCTATGGTCCAACCCACCTGCTCCGACACGCTCTCTTCTGCTGACACAGCCTTTTCAAAAATGCCAACAGCGGCGCGTTCGAGATCTCCCGTCGCAGAGACTATATCCCCCACCGCAGAACCAAACTGCGCGGTATCCCCCCCCACGCCGTCCCCCCCCGCGGATCCCGCGCCGCCAGCGCCAGCAATATCGCGGTACGCGGAAGCCGCCGCGCGTTTCAGATCCTCCGCGGCGGAAACTAGACTCCCCACAGCGGATCGCGCTTTATCAACTCCGGCTGCCGACGAGGCGGCGCGTTCAAGATCCTCCGCGGCAGTTATTAAGCTCCCGACGGCGGATCGCACTTTGTCGGTAGCGGGTGATTCCTCCGCAAGCGCCGCCGCCGCGGACGCTGGCAATGCGGCGAGGAGTGAGACAGCGGGAATCGCGGCGACGGAAGCGGCGCGAGGAGCGGGAGTGCGTGGGCGCTGTGAGAGTGACACTGTGGGCTTGCGTGAACGCGACTCCGCGTGCTCGGGAACGAGCGGCGATAGGCGAACTAAGGACGAAGCGCGAGTGCAACCTACATGTGCCATGGTGGCTCCTAAAAAGCGAACGACGCGCCTCCCTGCTTGAACACTGTGGCTCGAATAGAAGTGTATTGAAGTTTCCGAACTAAAATAGAGTATGGAGTCACAGTTAACGAGTTATTAGCGCAATATTTAGCTTGCGTCGGCAATGCAGCTTTCCGACTGCAAGACTGCGCCGGCGCCGTTTGCGGAGACCACAAGACTGATGGTGAGTCTGCCTGCAGAACCGGAAAGAAGCTCGTAGAATGTCAAGCCAAACAAACTATACCGGACCAGACTAGCGTGATGTATGAGTTAGAGTCTGCTGGAGCATGAAAGAATCTGTGTGTGCTACGTGTGCTGTGCAATTGTGAGAGACGGCTGGCTTGGTTTTGAAATGGACGAACGGCAAGCCGCGATTTGCGGCGTCGTGGAGGAACGTGAGCCACTGGACGTATCCGCGATAAGGGAGACCAGTTGATAATGTAAATACGTGGTTATGAAACCTATGACTTTTATAGAAATCTTGAAAAGGGTCAATGACTTTGAAGAGGTTGTATATATTTTACATAGGTAACGGGATAGGCATGCATCCCAATCGTATGGATTATGCTCGTCGTTCTTACTGAGAAATATTATGTCTTTTTTGTACGTGCACTCCTCAGTATTGTAACGAGTACAGGACTCATCATTCTGGCGGGTCCTCTAGCCCGCAGGACTCCGTCTGTATTCCACCAGATGCGTATGCCCTGTAACTATCGCAGTTCGCCGCCATGGGCGCGCTTGTCTCACCCCCGCAGCCGCGCGCGCTGCTTCCGCTTGTTGGCTTGCGCCACTCGAGCACCCCCGTGCGCCATTTCCGCTCCCCCAGAACCCCCCTGAGATTGCTTGACACCCACAGGATTCGAAAAAGTTCGCTCTACTCTGAAACCGCAGCTGCTCGGGGAGAAGAGGGGACCATTCTTCCCCTATTCCCTGCAAGTTTCCAGATCCGCGCGGAAAGGCGCGCAGAGGGCGGAAGGTCTGGCGGGAGGGGAGGGCGCGCAGCGTCTGGGGAGGGGGGAACTCGGGGCGGAAGGGTTGGAGGGCGGGGCAGGGGAAACGCGGATAGCGGAAGGGGCAGAGGGCGGGGCGGGGGGAATGCGATCGGAGCGGAATCTGATCCGCGGGAGAGCGGAAACAGGCGGGATTCGGTTGGTAGGGGAGGCGGCGGAACAGCGAATCTGCCACGTCAGCAGCCCGGGCGAGGACGTGGACAGGGACCACGTGGCAGCAGGCGTGACGTGGAGGGCACAGGTCTTGCAGTAACAGACGGGGATATGGGGAGCGCGCGGGAGAGGGGGGAGAGCAGCGAAACACTCGGGCGGGTTGCAGGGGGAAGGGGAAGGGGAGAGGGAAGGGGAGGGGGAGGAGCAGGGGAAAGGAGCAGGGGAGGTGGAGGGGCCATGGGTCGAGGTGGCTCGGATCAGGGTTTAGGAGATTTCGGAGGAGGTTCAAGAGGAGGTTTAAGCGGAAGTTCAAGAGGAGGTTTAAGCGGAAGTTCAAGAGGAGGTTTAAGCGGAAGTTCAAGAGGAGGTTTAAGCGGAAGTTCAAGAGGAGGTTTAAGCGGAAGTTCAAGAGGAGGTTTCAGCGAAAGTTCAAGAGGATGTTTCAGCGGAAGTTCAAGAGGAGGTTTAAGCGGAGGTTCAAGAGGCGGTTTAAGCGGAGGTTTAGAAAGGGGTTTAAGCGGGGCTTTACGGGATGGGCCAAGGCCGGGTGTGAGAGGGGGGCGGGGCGGAGGAGGAGGGGAGGACGCAGATTTGCTGAGCGCGTATGAGGGGGATGAGTCGAAGAAAGTGTGGAAGGCAGAAAGACAGATGCAGAGACAGGCAGGTGAGCAGTGTGGTGGTTGGGAAAAGAGAGGCGGAAACGGGAATAGAGGGGGACGGATGGGAGTTGCTGAGTGCATATGAGGGGGACGAATTGAAGAAAGAGGGTAAGGCAGAGAGGCGGATGCAGAGACAGGCAGGTGAGCAGTGTGGTGGTTGGGAAAAGAGAGGCGGAAACGGGAATAGAGGGGGACGGATGGGAGTTGCTGAGTGCGTATGAGGGGGACGAATTGAAGAAAGAGGGTAAGGCAGAGAGGCGGATGCAGAGACAGGCAGGTTAGTGGGGGTTTGGAGGAGGAAAGAGGAAATTGCTAGTACTGCAAAGCCGTTCATTTCTTTATTATTATTATTATTATTACTACTACTACTATTATTATTCCAATCTTCGACTTCTTTTATTATTGCTCCCCTTCTCCTCTCCAACAGAGGCTGATGCAAGAGCAGCAGCAGAGGAGGCAGCAGCAGCAAGAGCGAGGAGGAGAGAGGGGATTGTTGGGAGAAGCAATGAGTGGTGGGAAGACGAGGAGGAGGCAGAGGAGGAAGAAGAAGAAGAAGAGGAGGAGGAAGAGGATGAAGGAGAAAGAAGGAAAGGGAGAATGGAGAGGAGGGAGAGGGGGAGGAATGAGAGGGGGAGTGAGAGGGGGAGGGTAGAATGGAGCAGGGAGGGAGTGAGGCAGAAGTACTTATATGGTCCGTATGGCCCGTATGGAGGGAGGGCGCCGATGGTGGGGAAGCATAAGAAAGCCAAGATCACGGACGAATGGGTGATTTCGGAGTTCAGTTCGGTTCAGTCTGATGAAGGTGGGTGCAGAGCGGTGACAGCGGGTTGCAGAGGGTGACGGTGGGTGTAGGTCGGTGAAATTTCGTGCAGCGCAGTGGTGACAGTGGTAGTAAGGGAGGGAGTGAGGCAGAAGTACCTGTATGCTCCATATGGCCCGTATGGGGGGAGGGCGCCGATGGTGGGGAAGCACAAGAAAGCCAAGATCACGGACGAGTGGGTGATCTAAAAGTTCAGCTCCGTGCAGAGCGATGAAGGTGGGTGCAGAGCGGTGACAATGGGTTGCAGAGCGGTGACAATGGGTTGCAGAGCGGTGAAGGTGGATGCAGAGCGGTAACAATGGGTGTGAGTGTGTATCTGTACAGTCCCTATGGCCCGTATGGGGGGAGGGCGCCGATGGTGGGGAAGCACAAGAAGGCAAAGATAACGGACGAGTGGGTGATCTCGGAGTTCAGCTCGGTTCAGACTGATTAAGGTGGGTGCAAAGCGGTGACTGGGTGGAGAGCGATCAATGTGTGCACAGGGCCATGAACAATGCGTGCACAGGCACAGGGTAGTAGAAGGTATCAGTGTGTATCTTCATGGTTCATATCCTTCTCGCTACCTCGCTTTTCATTTTCATCAAACCATCTTTCCGTCAAACATTTTTTCTCTCTCTTTCCTCCACTCAAAACCCACGCCCCTCCCCTGTTCCTCTGAACAGAGCAGGAGAGAGCAGCGCAGAACCACATGAGCGCTCGTTACTCAACTCCCTCCTCTCCACTCCATCCCCCCACAGCTACGGTATATATCCTGAATGCACCCCCCCTGTCCGTCCATATCCCATGCCCCCCAAAACAGAGCAGGAGAGCGCAGAGCAGAACCACATGTGCGCTCGCTACGAGAAAGCTCTCGATTCCTTCCTCTCCTGCTCCTCGCCCCCTCCCCATCTCTCCTCATCAACAGAGCAGGAGAGCGCAGAGCAGAACCACATGTGCGCTCGCTACGAGAAGGCTCTCGACTCCTTCGTCTCCACACCAACCACACCGGCATTGGAGCCAGCAGCGGCTGTGGAGCCGGACCTGCTGTTTGTGTTTGCACGCAAGAAGCAGACGCCTCTCGATTCAGATGCAACAGCTCGCCCAAAATCCCGAGTGAGTGCAGGTGCTCTTACTAACAGAGGCTGGCTTTGGAGCCGGACTTGTTGTTTGTGTTTGCACGCAAGAAGCAGACGCCTCTCAATTCAGATGCAACAGCTCGCCCAAAATCCCGAGTGAGTGCAGGTGCTCTTACTAACAGAGGCTGGCTTTGGAGCCGGACTTGTTGTTTGTGTTTGCACGCAAGAAGCAGACGCCTCTCGATTCAGATGTGACAGAGGAGGCCAGATCTCGACCCAAATCCCGAGTGAGTGCTGCTGTTGTTGCTCTTGAAACTAGGGGGGGGGGGCTTGGGGAACCAGGGGAACCAGGGGAACCAGGGGAACCAGGGGAACCAGGGGAACCAGGGGAACCAGGGGAACCAGGGGAACCAGGGGAACCAGGGGAACCAGGGGAACCAGGGGCGGCTGTTGAGCCGGACTTGTTTTGTGTTTGTTTGCACGCAAGAAGCAGACCCCACTCGATTCAGATGCAACAGGAGAGCCCAAATCTCGACCCAAATCCCGGGTGAGTGTTTCTAGTTGTTGTGAGGGCCCTCAAAAGTTGTAGCTTTCGCTTCTATTTTCCCCCCCCCATTCCGTTTATTTCTTTCCTTCACCCCCCAGCTTGTTTTTTTGTTCTTTCTTCCAAAATGTCACCTATCGTTGCCCAACAACTCGTCCTTCATGAAAGCGTATTGACGCACCTGCCCCAACCCAAACCTCTGGTCCCTCTGTTCCTTCTGTTCCTCCCTCCACTTGTCCCTCCTCCTTCCCCCCTCCCCCACCAGCCCCCATGGCTGCAGTGGACGCTCGTCGCTCAACTCGCCCTGCGCCTCTCACCCTCACCACTGCCGTCTCTGCTCATTATAATCCTCAGTCCTCATCCTTTCGTATCCTGCTACCGCCCGCCCACCCCTCCCCCTTTCCCTTCCCTCGCCTCCCTTCCTGTCTGCCCTCCAGCCTCCGTGGCTGCAGTGGCCGCTCGTCGCCCAACTCGCCCTCCCTCCTCTCACCCTCACCACTGCCCTTGACGAATTTCACAATGCTCAATTCTGAACCACTCTCCCCCTGCCACCCCCCTTCCCCTCCCCTGCCCCACCAGCCCCCGTGGCTGCTGTGGATGCTCGTCGCTCAACTCGCCCTGCCGCCTCTCACCCTCACCACAGCCCTTGACGAATTTCACAATGCTCAATCCTGAACCACTCTTCCCCTGCCACCCCCCTTCCCCTCCCCTCCCCCACCAGCCCCCGTGGCTGCAGTGGACGCTTGTAGCCCAGCTCGCCCTGCCGCCACACCTTCCTCACACTTCGACTTACTCTGCCCTCCCTCTCTGCCCCTCTCGTCTCCCTTTCTTCGCCTCTCCCCCACCAGTGAGTGTTTTTTGAGAATTCTCAAAAAACGCCCAGCTCGCCCTGCCGCCACACCTTCCTCACACTTCGACTTACTCTGCCCTCCCTCTCTGCCCCTCTCGTCTCCCTTTCTTCGCCTCTCCCCCACCAGTGAGTGTTTTTTGAGAATTCTCAAAAAACGCCCAGCTCGCCCTGCCGCCACACCTTCCTCACACTTCGACTTACTCTGCCCTCCCTCTCTGCCCCTCTCGTCTCCCTTTCTTCGCCTCTCCCCCACCAGTGAGTGTTTTTTGAGAATTCTCAAAAAACGCCCAGCTCGCCCTGCCGCCACACCTTCCTCACACTTCGACTTACTCTGCCCTCCCTCTCTGCCCCTCTCGTCTCCCTTTCTTCGCCTCTCCCCCACCAGTGAGTGTTTTTTGAGAATTCTCAAAAAACGCCCAGCTCGCCCTGCCGCCACACCTTCCTCACACTTCGACTTACTCTGCCCTCCCTCTCTGCCCCTCTCGTCTCCCTTTCTTCGCCTCTCCCCCACCAGCCCCCTTGGCTGCAGTGGACGCTCGTCGCTCAACTCGCCCTCCCCCCTCTCACCCTCACCACTGCCCTTCACGAAATCCGAGCCGCTGCTACAGACACAGCTACTGATTCTGCGGACAACCCTGCTGCTATACACGATGCTGGGAGCACAGCTGGCGCTGCTGGTGAGGTCAACACGGGTCGAGCCGCAACTGGAGCAGCTATTGCCACCGGCTCCGCTTCATCTGATTCACCTGCTGCTGCTGCTGCTGCTGCTGTTGCTTCAGACTCAGCAGGAGTCTGGTTTTCAAGCCAGAAAATGGATGAGCACGTGCAGAGGTGGCTGATGGGACGGATACCCAAGAGAGCGTGGAGTGACGTGGCTCAGTGCGTTGCCTGGTATCGACCAGACTTGATATTCACAAGGCACCCTTCTTTTGAGGTATGTACCGTGTGGTTGCACATGATATCAGTGGTTCAAAGCTGTTGAGAGCGGTGCAGGAGTGTGTGTGGATAGAGCAGGATGCAGAGGTGGGTGGCTGATGGGACGGATACCCAAGAGGGCATGGAGTGACGTGGCTCAGTGCGTTGCCTGGTACCGACGAGACCTGGTGTTTGCCAGGCATCCTTCTTTTGAGGTATGTACCGTGTGGTTGCACATGGTATCAGTGGTTCAAAGCTGCTGATGGGATGGATACCCAACAGGGCGTGGAGTGACATGGCTCAGTGCGTGGCCTGGTACCGACCAGACCTCGTCTTTACTAGACATCCTGCTTTTGAGGTATGTATTGTGCTTTCAGAGCGGTTCAGGGCGGTTTGAAACAGTGCAGGAGTGTGTGTGGAGAGAGCAGGGTGGAGAGGTGGCTGATGGGACGGCTACCCAAGAGGGCGTGGAGTGATGTGGCTCAGTGCGTGGCCTGGTACCGTACCGACCAGACTTGGTGTTTGCCAGGCATCCTACTTTTGAGGTGTGTACCGTGTGGTTGCACATGGTATCATTGGTTCAAAGCTGCTGATGGGACGGATGCCCAAGAGGGCGTGGAGTGACGTGGCTCAGTGCGTCGCCTGGTATCGGCCAGACTTGGTTTTTACCCGCCACCCTTCTTTTGAGGTATGTCTTGGTGGTGTGACGGGTGTTTGAAGAGGTTCAGAGTGGTGTAGAGAGAGCAGGGCGCAGATGTGGCTGATGGGACGGCTACCCAAGAGGGCGTGGAGTGACATGGCTCAGTGCGTGGCCTGGTACCGACCAGACTTGGTTTTCACCAGGCACCCTTCTTTTGAGGTATGTACTGATTTATAGGTCAGTTTAGAGTGGTGCAGATAGGGCATGAAGTGACGTGGCTCAGTGCGTTGCCTGGCACCAACCAGACCTCGTCTTTACTAGGCACCCTGCCTTTGAGGTATGTAGTGAGTGGTTGCGGAGGCTTTGAGAGTGGTTCAAAGCGGTTCAGTGAGGTTCCAAGCAGTGTAGAGGTGCTGACCAAGAGGGCGTGGAGTGATGTGGCTCAGTGTGTGGCCTGGTACTGACCAGACTTGGTGTTTACCTGGCATCCTGCTTTTGAGGTGTGCACTGTGTGGGTTTAGGGCGGTGAAGAGGGGTGCTGAGCGAGAGTGTGGAGTGACGTGGCTCAGTGCGTTGTCTGGTACCGACCAGACTTGGTGTTTACCCGGCACCCTGCCTTTAACGCATGTTCATATGGTATTAAACCGAGCGGTTTAGAGCGATTCAGAGAGCGGTAGGCTGACAGGTTTCTTACTATGCTTCCACCATGTTTCAAGCGTCTGCTGTTCTCCACTCACCTATTCAACCACAGAAGCCATTTTTTCAGCGCCTCTTCCCTCAGCTCTTCTCTTCTCTTGAGTATCTCTGGTGTTTCATGCCTCCCCTGCTCTGCTCTGCTCTGCTCTGCTGCAGGTCTGCTCTGAACCACAGAAGCCTTTCTTTCAGCACCTTTTCCTGAGCTCTTCCCTCATCTTGAGTATCTTATCCCTGGTGATTCATGCCTCCCCTGCTCTGCTCTATTCTGTTGCAGGTCCGCTTCGAACCACAGAAGCCTTTTTTCCAGCGCCTTTTTCCTGAGCTCTTCCCTTCGGCTCTGTCACAATCACAATCACAATCATTACAGTCACTATCACAATCACAGTCGAACGTGCTTGTGAGCGGCCTGAAGCAGGCCCTTGGCTTGCCAGCTGCCGCCACGCGTGCTGCTGTGCTGGCAGCGTACGAGGCCGCCACGTGGCGGCAGCAGGCCTCCATCCTGTGCCACGTGGCACGCCTCCAGCTCAGCGCTGACTGGGACTTGCTGGGCCTGTCTGATGCTTCAGCAGGAGGATACATTGTGACAGGCGATGGTGACAATAGGAGTGGTGACAATAGCGATGGTGATAGTAATGAAGATGAATGGGGAGAACAGGATCAGACGGAGGAGGATGAAGAGGATGAGGGAGAGAGTGGAGAGGAGGGAGAGGGGGGGGATTCAGAAGCGGAGGAGGGGGAGGAGGAAGATGAGGATTTGGTGTGGTCAGAAGCAGAGGAGCAGAGAGCATTAGCTCGAGATGCAGAGATGCTGAAGCAGCAGGGGGGACAAGGAATTACTAGTCAGAGACTGTTGGGTGAAGGTTTAACTGGTGGAGGTGACATTGACGTTCTTGCTGGTGGTGGTGGTGCTGCTACAGCCGGAGCTGCTGGCGAGAGAAATACTGATGGCTCAATTAGTGATGGTGGTGACGAGTTGTCTGTAATGGAGCGGACTCTAGTGAGGAAAAAGGAGGAGGCAGCTGGGGAGGTGAAGGCAGCAGTGGGACCGTTTGATTCGGTCAGGCTGATTGGGGAGCTGACACTGCTGCACGCTATTGAGAGTGGAGAGGAGACATTCTGAGAATCCAATACACTCCTGCTGTAACATGTTGTAATCGTGTTATGTCGTATTGTACCTCTTGGTATTATTATGTTGCTATCTCTACAGTATAGAAGGCAAACTCTTTACAAACCAGGCTGGAGTGGACCTGGTACAGGGCCTATTTTTGGATTTTAGGTACTCTGATTTCCAGTCTAGTTTTTTTTCCCAACTCTGAAATCTAGGGTTGTTCCTGCGCCTTACTCTGATTTGTCAGAGTACCGTATGGCCCCGGATATAAGCGCAGGCCTATTATAAGCGCATGCGCTTGTATCTGGAGCAATGCGCTTATGGCCGATCCTCATTTATAAGCGCACCCCCTGTAAAACCTTGATTTATTATAAGCGCACGTATAATTCTAAAATTTTAACCAGATTAAAACGGTAGCGATTTCAAATTTTGCAGTGAGGATACAACTATTTTCGCTTCGATTGACTTTCGAGGACCTCACATACTGCGCGTCCAGTCAGTATGAGCTGGCATTTCTGATAGTGACGTGTAAATTTTCCTCTGTGCGCCGGCAGAAAATCGCTCACGCGCAGGCCTGTTGTTTCGTTTTGGCCCCCCCGGACAAAACAGGGGGCCCGGCATGTATGACCCTGTATTTAGCAGGGTTGGGGCGAATCTCGGCCCTTCAGGCTTCAGGGCTGGAAAATTTTCCTCCCTTGAATCAGGTTTGGCGCGAAAAAATCGGGAGCCTCATTTCAAATACCAAGCTTACAACTATGTTTGAGAACAACGACAAGCAAGCAAACACGACAAGAAGAGAAATAGTTAGCGTCATATCACTACGCACGCTTTGCAGGCTTCCTAGCCTTTGCAGAACCGATGATCGTCTGCACATCTACTACCCAACCTTCAGGGTAGTTCTTGTGCACTTCTACCCAACCTTAACCGTCACCCACTCCACAGAGAGCGAGCTGTGATTGGTTTAAGCACAAGTTCTAGTCTGAGTTGAATTTGTGGCCCAACCAAGCAACTCGAAATTGCCTTGTTGGATGCAATCAGGTTAGAAACGAAGGGGAAAGGAGAGGAGTGTTGGGGGGGGGAGGGGAGTGGAACGGGGGACTCGAGAGATTCTGTTCCAGGGCTCGCCTAAAATCTGCCCTTTTAACACCAAGCCTGAGCCCGAAATCAGCCCTGTAAAGAATCAGGGCCAGAATATTTCCAACCCATCAATTTCAGTTTTCAAGGGCAACCCAGCCCTGGAATTCAAGGTCCAGCAGGGCAAACGCCCTGCAAGCGACAGCCCTGCTCACGCGCGAATCTGAATTACGACTCGCTACCACTTCGGTTCGATTGAAATCACAAGAAGGAGATGTACAGTTTGGTGCCAATGAATTATAAATTTGCATTTATTATTATATAAGCGCATGCGCTTATAAATCTGACTCAATTATAAGCGCACCCCCCCAAAAAACACTGTTTTATTATAAGCGCAGGTGCGCTTATATCCGGGGTATTACGGTAACCCTTTACTTACAAAAAAAAAAAAAAAAAAAACCAGGCACGTCAGAGTAATATTTTTCTCTACTCTGATGTTAGTTAAGTTTGGTGTACCATGACCTTAATAGGTTTTTGTTACGCCTTTTGTACTTGCATTATGTTTCATTTCCGCGTCTCCCACGTTTCCCCCCTCACTGCGATGTTTCAGAGTGAGGTGTTGGCGGCACCGATAATCTGACTAAGAGCGTGTCTGAAGTGAAATTTAGACGGATGTACAGTTCCGTCGGGGAATGCTGGCAAATCTCAACCCTCGGTCTGAGCGTTCCGACCGTCAGGATTCCTCGACGTCCCTCAAAGTTTCGTCGGGAAACGTCGACGTTCACTTCAGACATAAAGAGAGAGGGGACTGGCTGGCATGGTGCGCTGGTTGGGAAAGTTGTCAAACTACGGTAGCCAATCAGCGCTCATATTGCCGCCAACACACGACACAAATCAGGAGAATGATCTCGACGATTCGGGGAAAACCCGCTAAACGCAGGGGGGGGTGGGGAGGGGAGGGGGGCGGGGGAGGGGGGCCGGCAGGTTTTCCTATACAGAGTAAATTCGGTCCCCGAAAAAAAAAAACCCAGAGGCCTCAGAGTAAACTACAACATAACTCTGACAAATCAGAGAAATCGGAAGTCCCAAAAAAATTACCCAGCGGGTACAGAGTTACTTTCAAAAATGACTCTGATTTTCAGAGAAACAGAGTAATTTACTCTGAAAACGTGAGGCCTGGTACCTGAAGATTTTGTTTGCTTTGAGATTTTGCAATCAAACACAGGTCTTGGGTTTTACCGTACGCCATGATCTCTGTACTGCAACCTGAGCTGAATGGAGGTCCTTTCCTTTGCCTCTGCTGGTAACAGAGGAAAATCTCTCAGGAGAATGGACGTAGCCAAATCTACCGGTAACGGAAACAAAAAGCTGAAGCCAACTGAGCAGGGTGTTCCAGTTATTATTACAGACCAAAGCATCACTGGGAACCATAAAAGGTCAACTAGTCCCACTCCCCAGGCCTTCACATTGAAATGTGAGGGGTGTCAAGAATAATATATATTTCTATATATTGTTTTGTAACTGCCTGTAGTGTAGACTAGTGTAGTTATATAATGTTCTGTTTTGGTGGTGCACCTTTCATCTTGCCTATATGTACTGCTCGCTCTATAGTGAAAACCCTTCTTCTCTTTTCAATTCTCTCGACTCTACTCAACTTACTCGAACTCAACTAGCTATGGCTCCTTTAGCCTAGCTAAGCTTATGACAAGGGGACCAGCAGCACATGCAAAATGAGCGAAAAGTGCTGCCCAACAACACTGACCTGCCAAAGCCGCATTAGACATACTGCAACTGGACAGCCGGGCAGTGTCACGCATGCTCTACAGATAAATAAGTCTCAGCAGCGGGGTTGCCCTGAGAAAAAAATCTTCAACTGAGAGAAAGTCTTCTGTCATCTGTGATTGAACCCTTCTTCTGCAGTGACAGACATCCAATGGTAGCCATCTCACACATCTCCAGGAATTCGTCATCCCACATCATGAGCGCCTGTAGCACCACGACGCTTACAATCACAGCAATTTTTACTGCTTCGGGATCCGTTCTGGTCAAGAGCAGGTTTAGCATCCCTTATGAAGTTTTCGTATTCCTTCATTTTCGCAGCGTGGAATGCATTGAGTTTTTCGATCGTGTCAATTAACAGCCTCGCACCCTGCATTTTTTTGTCCTCGCGCAGTTGCCGAGTCCGCATGTTGGGTTGAGTCCTTGAACGACTTTCTGTTGGATGAACGAACAATGTCACGCATTTGTACAAATCAAAATGCTCGTCTGACTCTTGCAGCTATTCAGCGGACCTTGAGAATATCAAATAAACTTCACGCATACAACATACATGGGATATATGCATGGGAAAGTACCTTGAGATGACAGCAAGTCCGTTCGGGGTGGACTAGCCACTGAATCATCTCCAGCGGCCCGTAAGTCTCTTCGCTGACGCTTGGCATCACGTGAGGGAGCTCGACTGTCTATTTCAGCCGTTAATACACTTTTACAGACATCATCACGGTCATGGGCCATCGTTGAGGACTTAAAACGACCTCTAGTACAAGAGTTAAGGGATACTAACGGTTCATTGGAGTAATTGCTAAACGAATTGTTAGGAACGAAGTAAGCAAATGTGAATGAAGTAGCTTGTGGGTGACGCCTGCTATAATGGTCTGGATTTTTTGTGAAGTCTTGCGGTTTGAGTTTTGAGAGCGCCTTTGCACGGTGCTGTAGGTTGCGGTGGAATAGAATACGGTTCAGTTGAAGCCTATTAGATGAATTGCAGGCTGGCTGGGAGGGTAATTGGTGGCACGGATAACGGTAAGCTCGGCCTTACCAAGGCGGTCGGTTTGGTTCAGCACTTGGGCTTTGGTCCGGCATGAAGCGAGAACAACATTCCCGCGTTTTCACACTCGGTAAGATAGAGGAGGGAGCTGTTTCGCGAACAAAAGTATTCACGAACACCTCTGGTTCACAACTACCGTATGATGGTATAAAATACATTGCTTTTGAATAATCTGTGCTTGGTGGTGATTCAGAGATGTAATAATTCAGAGATGGAGTGGTTCTGGTGCCATTGTCTGTACCTGTAGGCCTAGTGACTCAGGCCTTCTGCATTGACCTGCAATCCAGTAGTTGGCGTGAGATTCATTGCTATGTGTTACGACACGAAGTTTTATGAGAAGGCTTTCCTGTATGCTGCAGGAGCCGACTCTACCGAGTACGAAGTCGAGGAGTCAGAAGAGTCGAAGCGTCGCGGCAACCGCCTGACCAAGACCGATGCAGGCAGAAACATTTGAAGTGGAAAGAGCGGGAACAGGTTCAAAAACAAGTTCCCGCGCCGCACGGTTTGAAATTGATATAATAAGGGAATGTACCCCTTAGAGTACATGACTAGCCTACGTCTTTTTGTATTCCCCTGTATTATTATATAAACCCAATGTATGCATGCTATTATCAACTCAGTCATTTACATTCACTCTGACCTGAGATTCAAACTTCCGCTGCAAACACTACTCTGCGATCAACCTTGAGCGATCCTTCGCTAAGTCCCCTTTGGGATTGTAACATGGTATGAGAGCTACTCAGGGATTCTTCGCAACTTCACTTCCGTGAAATTCGCCGAATCAAGATCTGGCGAGCGGCACACGCTCAAAGACCAAGATGGCCGGAGGATCCGGAGGCCAAGCAAATTTGACGGCTGAAGGACAATCCAATCCGGCTGCGACAAATGAGGCGATAACCACGATCGGCACTGCCGCTCTCGAGCAACTTTTCGCTCGACTTTCAACTATGGAGAAAGAACTCCAAGATCTGCGCAAAGGCGATGCGGGAACCTCTTCCCAACCAGTACAACCTGGACAACCGGCTGAGAAAAGCCGTGATACCGCCGCGCATACCTTCTCCCTCGACACAGACGAATCAACAACAACTGCCCCCCGTCCAAGTGATGAAGC